ACATAGCGGCTCTATAATAATAATAATAATAATAATAATTTATTTCTTATAGAGCGCTATTTACAATGACAGATCAACAGCGCTTTACACTCAATGTATAAACCCACCCATCCCACCCTAGGGGCCGGGACATCCATCACACAGTAATCTCGTTTGTGGGAAATTAACGTCTCCTACTCCCAACCCTGCAGGAGACGGGACCTCCATTTATTCGTCCCTATCCGAGAAGACTAGAATATCTAACCATTTCTTGATGTTATAGAAAGGTAGCAAATTCTTCTAAACTATCTTAAGACCTTGAGTGTTGGTCCGGCCGGGGCTTGAACCCTCGACCTCCCGCACAACAGTCCAGCGCACTATCCATCGGGCTAACTGGGCGGCTACCTTATATACTAAGAATTTACTTTTAGTATGTAGTTCATGTTTAGTACATTTGTGCATCGTTGAAAATTTTGATTATACAAATTCTTACCCTCTGGCCTTGGTGTCCTTTCCAAGGTTTATGTTAAAAAATAATTAACCATAATTAACTTTTAGTACATTATATATTAAAAATTTACTTTAAGGATTTAGTTGATGTTTAGTACGTACATCACTGAACATTGTGACTATACAAATTCTTACTGACTGGCCTTGGTATTCTTTTTTAGGCTTATGTTAACAAAACGTTGTTAATAAATAATAAACGTTTTTACTGGATGATTCTTTGATTCATGATATTTTTCTACTATCTTATATCTGCCTGATATAAAACGTAATTAATCATGACCATTCCACACTCCTTATTCTCACTCGAACGATTTCTCTGCCTGAGAAGACATGACTTTACCCGTTCATATCAAGCACATTACTTCCTATTTATTGTCTTCGGGTTTAAAACATCAATTTTGTGATATATTTATTTAGTTGAAGACGATCGCATATAAGTATGTACTTTATAGTTACAAACGTTTAATTTAACCAACAGAATTTAAAGAAAATTATGTCTCGTCACTTACTGATTTATCCTTTCCTTATTGACTACAGCCGTTGTCGGGAACGGAAACTGTAGTTGTTCCACGCGTCCCTAGAAGATTAATCCTATCCCCGGCCGTTTCTTGTGTTGTTGGTGCAATTATTAACTGTCATGCTGTCATACTCGTGCGTTGGCAAGGGGATATTGTCAAACAAAATTGGTGGAGATCATATAATGTTGATCTCTCAACTTACTTTGCCAAGGGAAATTTCATTAAAATGAATGTACTTGAATNGTAATTAAGAGGACCACAAGTTTATTAGTGTTTGTGCACTATCACGTGCTATCCTCAATAAATAAAGTCTTATTATTTTTTAAACAACGAACGGAACTGAATCGTTTTGAAAACGCTCCTCGTTTGATAACGTTTTCAAAACGAGCTGGTTTCAGAAATGGTCTCGATCAGCGACGTGTAAGCGAAAGGTGTAACGCCTTCGAAAGCTATGCGATTACAAATGAACCCTGTCTATGTAAACAGTGCCCGAGATATACCTTCTCTGTCTTAGACACGTGGGCCAAAAACTTTATCCTCTTTTCATTCAATGGGCTAGAAAGAAGGACGGCTTGTATTCTAACCAGTAAAATTAGGTTTTCATGATCTCTTACTCAGGGGGTAGATCATGCGATTTAACTTCAGTTTCAAGACACACAGATATCCAAGAATTTCAAGAGCATTAAAAGTCATTACTCGTCAAAACATCTAGGCTAAAAAAGCAATAAAAAACGACCGAAGACTTAATGAAACAAAGTAACTTAAATTTATGTTGTAGAGTATTTTAAAGGATTGCTATTTTGAGTATTTTCAGGCTTACCTTTTGTTTTGTTAGGTATCGCCTTTTTGCGTCTACGAGTTATTTTGGTAAATTTATAGTTTCAGTGATCTTTTGTTTTTAGTGTGTGCTTGAACTGGGCTCAGTTCGCGGATTTCCTTCTTACCGTGCTAGACATTTTAATCGCTTGATACAGTTGAGAATAATTAGTTTCATAGGTTGTCATGTTTGGGTTGGTAAAACTACCTTGAGTTTTACCCACACTGAGGATCCTGTTTGTGCGCGTGATTATCGTGCGCGGCTCGATCATTGGCGTTTAATTGGTTCCTTGGTGCTAGCCAAGTGCTTCGGAGCGAGCCACCCAATTTCCCCCTTTCCAAAACAGCGAATACACTATGGAAACTCCCACGGTCAGCTAACGCAAACATGTCTGTGATTTTTGCATTTAATACGTGAGCACTCCTTGCAAAAAGTAGAAGAAAGGTAGCAGCAGCAGTAGAAGAAGAAGAGATCTGAAACGTTGTAGTAGGAAAGAATAAAAAGAGAGAAGAGTCCAGGGTCTCAGTACTTCTCGTTAAAAGCCAAGCGAGTGGTAAAGCCCCCCAACATTTAGCTCACTTAAAAGGAAGACGAAAGGTTTAACATGAGACTAAAAATAACAAAATCAGAGAAAGATACTTAATTTCTTTGTTCGTTCAGGGCATGTTACTTGTCAGATCTGTCCTCTTGTGCGCCTAAATGTAATCAACCCATCGTATTTGTTAAAAAAATAACACTTTGTCACCGAAAACTGAAAGTGCGTATTTGCTACTAAAATACGTATTTGCTACGAAATACGTTTTCCGAAATAAACTGTGAAAAAAGTCTTAAATTGAATTATTCGAAAATGGAGGTAATTTGTCTTTCAAAGCGCAAACCATATGTAGAAAAATCATTTTGATAAAAAGAAAAGAACGAGTTTTATCAGGAAAAAACGATTCGAGCACCTTCAAAAAAATCTTCAACTTTAAGGTCGAGTTTACTTCATAGCCTAAGACGGGATTTTGTTAAAAAATTGACTTGTGAAAGAATAAAAAAATATTTCCTATTGACGGGGGCTTGGGTGGAAACTTTTTATTCGTAAATGACCTTCGGAATCTGCAAAGATCTAAAATTTTTTGGTTTTTTTGGGTCTTTGTACCTACGACTGAGTATTTGCTACGCTTGTCGAACAGAACGCGCGGTATTTCCTTCACAATACTTATTATAACATAACCAAAGTAAACCGCGCGCTCTGATTGGTCAATTTAGCGTCCCCCATTTGCCCATGGGTGTACGCTGCTGACGTGAGCAAATGCAAAGACTATTTTTCCGCGCGCGCTTGTTTTCTCTGGTCGCGGAAGATTTGTTAAATAAAAGGGAACTCTTTATCTACAATATATCAATGTTATGTTATAAAACAAATGGTAAACACCACAGCGTACACTATTGAGTTATGGATGCACTTGGGAGGTTTGCTAAGCACTCAAGAAGCTAGAGTCGCTCTCGGCTATCGCCTCGAGCGACTCTTACGCTTCTTTCGTGCTTAGCAACCTCCCGCGTGCATCCATAACTCAATAGTGTACGCTGTGGTGTTTACCATTTGTTAAACATTCTCTGCATTTCAGTATAGCTGCCAAAAAAATAAGTGTAAATTTAAGCTGCACATCAACAAAACGCATTTTAAAGTTGTTTGCTTGACGGAAAAATGGAAAAGGAGAAAAGGTAGCAAATAGGCAGGCAACAATCTAAGGAAAGAGAGGGAGGGAGAGAGCTTGTATTGAGGCCTGAAACTACCATCAAACTTTTTTTGAAGAAATTTCTGGAAAGACACAGTTAACAGGTGCCTCCGTGATTATCACGTCGTAAAGAACTTCACAAACCCAAAATACAAGTTGCTCTCTTAATAACTTAATATGACATTACAACTGGGGTTTTTTCCAATTCCCAAATTGTACCTTGCCGCTTGAAGTACAGAAAACTGAGAGTTGCTTTCGCAGATATATCACACGTGTGGATGGCAAACAGGCAAAACCCCAAAACTTTCCGGGAATTCAACTTAAATCAAATATGAACGGACTTACCTCAGCTTATTTTAGTCGCCATGGTGAGTGAAAAAATATAATTAGCATATAAAATTTCGATACAAGTCGCCAATTTAACGACCATCAGACAAAAAAAAGGAGACTTGGAAAAATTATGGATCTTTGGTCGAATTATCAAACGAACAAACGCCAATATTTCCTGTGTTTGTCTTTTTCCTCTTCCCCTTCTGTTTTCTTACCTGTACGTTTCTTGATGTGTAGAAAGAAATGAATCGAGAAGAGCCTCCACCTCAATTATTTCATGATCCTACACCAAATAGAACGGTCAAATAATCGCTGGGTGTTGTGCCCTTAAAACTGTTTCCTCTCCTCTATTTTCGGTAATTTCCTGTTTTTCGCGCTTGTTGCATTGGACATGAGATGATTAGCCTTATCGGCTATCATCTCAACACGCACTCTTGGAATGATTGTTAACGACAGCTCAGACAGCTCAGACAGCTGTAAACACTCTACAAAGATATTAAGTGTAGCTAATTCTGTTGATAGAGACAAACCATTTATTTGAGCGAAACGGTTATTTGAAGTTTGAGTTCTTCGATAGTGCTTGGCAAATTATTTAAACTCGTGATCTTTTATCAGCATCACGCTTGGCGAAATAATTTGTTGTCTAATTTCTTTTGAACGACTCCGGTTTGTGTTCGAGAAGCTTATCAACTGCCACAGCTCTCCATTATACTAGACAGCGTCTCTAGGAAATTAATATACGTAGTGTAGTTTTCGTGGAGACGGTCTGTATGGCAAAATCCCTGCCAAGAGCGTCGGCTCACCTCCGAGGTGTGCCCTACCTTGTGTTGATTCCATTCATGTTAGATCAACAAGACACACGTATCTTCAAGAATTTTTTAATAATACAATACACCCTTTAAGAGCTATAATGCCAAAAAAGAAATCAACCAAGTACAATCTGAGGAAAGAGACAAGTCACCATCCTAAAATAAACACTGATAGGTTCAAAAACACGTTTGTCAACCGCTTAATTTTTAAACATAATCTAGTCTTATAATTTTTATCTTGACTTTCTCTGTAATTTATATATATAGTTTCTTTTTATGTTGTAACATAGGATATGTGATTATTTATCTTATGCCTTAATAAAGATTCAATTCAATTCAATTCATTCACAATAGAAAGCGATCGATGAGTAAGTATTGTATAAAGATATGCAATTCAAGATATAAGGTTCTCACTTCAACTATTGCCGAGTAAGATATGAGAGGCTATGACAAATTCGGTTTTAAAACTCCGAGATCTTAATGGTGGGTGAAAACGCTCAGTCCGGTGAGATATCATTTTCAGCTGTATACAACTACTTTAATACTTTCTCACATTTGCATTGATTGAGAAACCTTGTGAATGATTTTTGACACTTCGCCGTCAAAGCGATGCCTATCAGTATAATAAGTACCATAAGTATTAGAATAATCCAAATACCCGCCCCTGAGTCTAGTTGGACAAGTATCGTTAGCGATGTATTCTAGTATTAATCGACATTCATCACATTCCTTGAAACGATCTTCAAGATTGGTATTTGGTTTTCCATTACGGTAATGAGTACGGCACAATTCCGGCATGTCCTTGCTTGCTTCACCCCACAACCACATACAACACTCTGCCAAGCCAATGAATTGTGGGTAGACCTCCTTCAGTAATCCTTCCAAAAACTCAATTCTTTGCGTTAAGAGATGCTGTAGTTTATCCCTGTCAATACTTTGAAACTGAACGGTATCAGAAAGAGTCTCGAGGCTCATACCTTTCAGCAGATCGTTGCAGTCTTGGCGTACTTTCTCTAGATTGTACAACTCAGCAAGCGAAAGAATCTTTATCACATTTTCCATGGTTTTTGGCTCTTCATCGAGGAACTTAACACAGGGTTTGAAAATCGGTTCTGTTACTTGATACTCATCACTTAGTAGCAGAAGATGTTCCACATTTTCCACTGGGAACAAAAAGCACAGTTAAAAATTTGAAATAGAAGAGAGACCATAACAATGCCAAAACGTAATTATACATCATACAGGAAGTTACATTTACTCTCCCCACTGCAATTATGATCAGAAATCATGCAAGAGAAAGAGCACATTTGGAAATTTCAAACTTTTAGAAAAAACGTTAAACAGCTAAAACCTTGGCTGGCTTATTCACATCATGAGAGCATTATAAATAGTTTCGCTCAGAATATAGCATCAGAACTGTTTTGTCAGATTTCTTGAATTTCATTTCTTCCTTTTTTTTCCTTCTTTTTTTATCTTTTTTTTCCTTCTCGTATATACCGGTTGACGAAATCTTGCAGAGAGCTCGTAAACAATGCCAAGAGGTATGTGGGCTCGCAATGATTTCCCAGATTTATTGGCTACTTGTGCCTGCATGATGAGAAACTATTCACTCACCCATTGCTGGTTAAACTAATCAGTGCCTAAGAAGAGTTCGTTAATATATTTGTTTTCCTTCTAAAGAACTTACTTGTGATTTGTAGTTCCCTTTTAGTGTGATGGGGTCTGTACACTTTTGTCAGGAAGTCCAACATCTCATTAGATTTCTTTCCAGGCAGCAGAATCTCGTTAGCAGTTGCTTCTTTAAACTGAGATTTGAACATGGCCTTGAACACTGGTGAGTTCAAGCTTAATATCAGACGATGGACATGGAACTGCTCATTTTCCACCACAAGGATCACATCACTGTCTTCCCATTGTTCAGAGAAACAACGCTTCGCTTTCTCTTTTTCTCTTGCGTCTTGAACTGTTACATTAGAGGAGACTGAGTTAAACACTGATAAAATTGAAGTTATGCACCTGACTTAGTAGATTGTTATGGGTGCCAAAGATGAATAAAACACGGAATAGCATATGCAGTTAGTTTGTCAGACAACTAAAATTTTTCGTTCCAACAAGCCCCTCGATAGGTCACCACTTGCTGTAGGGGAATTAGAAGTGAAATTAACCACTAAGGTCATTTTCTCTCCTCCACAGCTTGTTTTACGGAATCACGAACGTTCCTCGCAATATGTCTTCAGAGCGGATCACACCTAATAATCTGAAATTTTCCAGGTTTACCATTAACAACGACCTAGAAATTGAACAATTATGCTTCATTAGGCATTGGCTCTAAAACTGAATCCTGAATTGATCAAAAGCAATAGCATTCAGTAAAACAAGTTCTTGACGCCCACTTGTTCGTTCTTAATACACTTAATTAACGGCTACTTGTCAGCTCAAAAGTTGCCCAAGCTCACGCGATACAAGAGCCTCCTTATTTTCTCTTGATTTCGCCAACTGCGCGACCTTAGCATATTTGCATATTTACGAAGGCCCCTTGTGCAAGCTTTAGCCAAATGTAGTTAATTAAGCTTAAATAATGAATAGAGCATTGATGCAATTGGTGATGGACAGTTTATCACCAATTGACTCCCAGTCTATAGACTACCCCGATCCAAATGGACTATCCTAAAATGGCAGAGTCAACGCCCTCCTCAATGCAATCGCTTTCGTAAGCGACCACAGTCTAGTTGTAAGATTCTCAAGTCTCGACTTATGTCAAAGTATTGACATATTCGTGTCCCCAGAAAATATTTAAGTACAAGGTTCTTCGAGGCCATAGCCAGCTTGGTAACTACCATATCTTTCCCTTGTTTGTGAGCCGCCCTAAAAAGTACAAGAAACTTGCAAACAGATACCGTCATTTGCAATAGTAATATGACCAATTGTTTCATCCAAAGTGATGAACGGTGTCGAAGTGTGTGGTTGCCTGTGTCTTGAACTTGTAACGAAAATGGTAGATTTGACAACATTTCGTTAAAGTGAGTGAATGTTCACGGAATTGACGAATCATCCCATGACGACTTCAACACGGACAAAGTGTGTAATTCTGCGAACCCCACTCAAGTGGGGTTCGTGCATATGTATGAGCTCTGTTACCTAGTAACGCGTGACGTATTTTACGTCACGTTTAACTGGGAGTCTTTGATGGAAGCTGTGTGGTAAAACCTGTTTAGATGCGGTCGGAGAAACTAAGGATAGATCGGGAAATTCGAAGCGAACTACGTTAAATTTGGACAGCTTTGTTTGCTAAGTGGAAGCGTGTTATAGTTGAACGTGCAGTTTAGTTAATGGTTTTGATCTTTGAATTTCATAAGGCTTTCGTCCATGAAAGATTATGCGAATTCACGCCTGAAATTATATCGAACTGTAATTTGAGCTTTTTTTTCCAGAAGATTGGATACTTTTAACAGTAAAAGTCACAGGCAGCCCAAGCTCACTACTAGTAAAGCGGACGTGACTCTTACAGTGTTGCGCAACGTTTTATATTTATAAAGGTTTGTATGGGGTGTTATCGGTTTGCCTTGAAAGAGAGAAAAAAATGTCTTGTTTTGAAATAAAATGGACTTACCTCATTGCCTTGTTGTTTTCTTTGTTGATTCCTAGCGTCTCAGGCCATTTTGAAGCGTTTTGGGCGAGTTAGCGCTGTTGGTGTTCAACTGCTAAAACCAATCTTTTTGTAGGTTTTGTCGAACATCAATTTTTCAGCCAATACAACGGGTCCAAACCTGAACTCTACGGTCGCTACATCGACGACTGTATCGGCGCTACCTCCTCTACCAGAGAGGAGCTAACTCAATTCATAACTGCAGTCAATTCTTTTCACCCGGCTCTGAAATATACTTGGGAAATTTCTGACAATTCTTTATCCTTTTTAGACGTCAAAGTTTCAATTGAAGGTAACGGTTTATGCACTAGTGTGTATTACAAACCTACAGACTCGCATAATTACTTGTTATATTCGTCTTCTCATCCATCTCACGTTAAGAATTCCATTCCTTTTTCTCAGTTTCTAAGACTTCGTCGTTTATGTAGTAATGACTCTGATTTTCACCACAAATCAGAGTCAATGTGCCAGTTCTTCGATAAACGTGGTTACCCTGCTTCCGTTGTTCAAGCGGGTTACCACCGCGCTCAACTTATTGATCGACATTCAGCACTACAAACGTCGCATAAGGAAGATTCCGACCGCATTCCATTCACTCTCACGTTTCACCCTCACAACCACTCAGTTAAATCCATCATTCTTAAAAACTTCAAATTACTTCAAAACGATCCAGAGACAAGCACTATCTTTTCGCAGCCTCCGCTCATTTCATTCAAACGCGACAAAAACTTAGGCAATTTTTTGGTCAGAAGTTCTTTTCAGACTAATGAGCAACCAGGCACTTTTAAATGCGCTCGTGCGCGATGCAAAACGTGTCCTTTCATTCACAACACTGATAAAATATCGGGACCTAAACGATCCATTAAGATCACCGATCACTTCACGTGCACCTCCGCTAATGTAATCTATTGCATAACTTGCACTTATTGCAAAAAGATATACATCGGCGAAACGGGCAGAAGACTAGGTGACCGATTCCGAGAACACCTTCGAGACGTGGAAAGGAATGACAAGGACACATCTAAACCAGTCGCTAGACATTTTAATTTACCTAATCATTCTAAGCAACATATGGCAATCTGCGGTCTTTCCTTGCACTTAGGTGGCACGGAAAGCCGTAAAAATCTTGAACAAAAGCTCATCTTTCAAACCGGCAGTCTCAATCCCACAGGGATCAATGAACGCTTTTCATTCCACTAATTTATTCATGTTTTTCTCGTTGCCATGCACCCACCAATAACGTAGCTCCATTTTCTGCCTTTAAAAGCACACACAACCCACAATTCCTCTATTCGCTCCGACGAAGGGCTAACGCTCGAAACGTCAGCTTTTGTAATCATTACGGTGGCCAATTTACCATTTCAACTTTGTTGATATATCCAAATTATTTCGTTACTCCCACCGACGCAGCCCCAAACAGTTTCTTTCGAAACTATCAGCCTTTATTCATTTTTA